AGGAAGAGCTAGAGAAACTCAGCAGCTTATGGCAGCGTTTGTGGAGAGAGAAGAAGAGTTACTGTTTTGAGTCTGATTTGACTACTTCACAACTGTTTTGCACATCTGTGATGAAGATGAGGTGACTTGGGCCAGAAAACTGGAAATTGTAGAGCTGATGCAAAAAAGCCAGAAGAATCATGGATTGGAGTGAGAGGAGACTGAATAAGGGAGGACAGCAGGGTGAGGATAGGAAGAGTTAAATTGAGTAGAATAGGCACAGGTTGAAACAAGGAGTCTGCCTGGACAGTCCTGTTTATGGATTTTGGGTAGGAGACAGAATGGGCGTATGATTTTTTTTTTTTGGGGAACCATGAGGTGGGAAGCTCACAGAGGAGATGAGGTCAGCGAGAGACCTGGAAACAATGGCTTGATTTTCAGAGACAGAGATCATGGTCCTTGAGGAGATGGGAGGAAGGCAGCACAGCCCTTAACAGCAGGTCGGATAAAGCCAAGGTTAAACCTAAGAGAGAGAATTGTTGCAAGTTCGGAGGGAGACAGGTTGGGAGGGGTAAGGTGAGCGGAGAAACTAAGGTGGGCAATGTCACATCGGTAGTTCTCAATGAAGAGATCAAGTGCAGGCAAAAGGCCAGAGGGAGAGGTCCAGCTGGAGGGGGTGACTTGGATGACAGTGTCTGTGTGGCATGGAAAGGAGTTCTGTCCAAAGGTATGCACGTGGAGGCAGAGGTGATGGAGAAGAGTGAAGTGTCATAGCGTGCCTGAAATTCATTGAAGTGGGGACATAAAGGGATAAAACTAAGTCCTGTGCTCAGCACAGCTCATTCACAGCGTTTGGCACCAAGTATGGATCTCAATGTGCGGCCGTAGCAACTGGCTGAGGAATGTTTAGTGTCTTGGAGAAGCCTGTAATCTTGGGTGGGCTTGAAACATGAAGGAGCCTCAGCTGGAATCCGTGCGGGGTGAAGTGGGGCAGGTGAGAGTTACTGACAAAGGAGATGTGACTCGGAGTTTTTGGCAAGCACTTTATCAAACACGAGGAGGGAAATAGACAGCATTGAAAGTGAACAAGCTGAAAGGTTAAAACAGAAATCCCACCGGAGGGAAGAGCAGAACTTCTTCAAGGTAGGCATACCTGGAAAAGAAGTGGCAGTGAATTAAAGGTTCAAATACAAACAAAATACTGGACCTCTGATATAACAACAGAAAGTGTTGAAGAGCCTCAGCAGATCTGGGAGGTTGAAGTTGGCCTTATACAGGTTTATAAAATCCTGAGGGGTATAGGTAAGATGAATGGCAGGTGTCTGTTCCCTACGATGGGGAATTTCAAAACTAGCGGGCATATTTTTAAGGTGAGAGGAGAAAGATTTGAAAAAGGACATGAAGGGTATTTTTTCTTAAGCACAGATGGTGGATCGTATGTGGAATGAACTTCCTGAGGAAGTGGTGGATGCGGGCACAGTTACAACGTTTAAAAGATCCTTAGCTCAGTACATGAATTGGAAAAGCCTGAACGGATATGGGCCAGGAGCAAGCAGGTGGGACTGGTTTAGTTTGGGATTATATTTGGCATGGTCTGGTTGCACCGAGGGGTCTGTTTCTGCGCTGTGTGACTCTCTCTGGAAGCATCCACGGAGAGAAACCGTTATTATTTTTTGACTCCACTATGCCTCTTCTTCCAGCTCTGAAGAAAAGTCACTCCGGAGTCAATGTTAACTCTCTGTATTGCCACAGGCGCTGCTGGGGCTTTCTAACACTTTCTCTGCTAATGTGCTTTTTAAAACACCTACACAGAAGGATATCGATAAATTTTGGAATTTGCTGTCCTTTTCCAGAGAACGCTGTTTACAACCAGGGCTCAGTCACCCATGAACTACAGCCCCTCTGATAGCTGCATAGACACCAGATGTGCACTTGTCTAGCCATGTCCTGCTGACCTTGACTCATCTATTTGATTCCAGTGTGATTTTCTTTCCAGGAGTAGTTTTTGAATTGCAAATGCATCCTGGTAGCAGTTAATGAGGAATTAATTGTTAAATAATCCCCAGTCATGTCACAGTAGGGTGTAAATTGCCAGCTACACCACAGCTCCTCGATCAGTGTGAAACAGGCCACTTCTTTTCTGAGATAGCAAGAACTGCAGATGCTGGAGTCAGAGTCAACAGTGTGGAGCTGCAGGAACACAGCAGGCCAGGCAGCGTCAGTGGAGCAGGAAAGTCAACATATGGTTTCCAGCTTGGTTCGGTTTAGCTTGCAGTCTGTTTGGATCAAATCCACCACCAACAGTGCACGCAGCGTTTTATTGCATTAACTTGTAGCTGGGATGACAAGGAATGGCCTGTAGCTCCAAGTGTGAATGGGCAGCATTTGGAAACATGAAGTCCTATGGTCAGTGAATGTCCATTACAAAGGATGAGGGTGGCTGCATTTATTAAGGAGTATATTGTAATGCTGGAGAGAGAGAGGATATCTGTGAAGGTCAAGAACAGAATTTATTTGGTTACATCTAAGAAAGAAAACTGGATGTATTTTTCGGACTACCAATTAGTGAAAAAGACATAGAAATGTAAATTTGTGCAAAAATACAAAAGCTAAAATACAGTGATAATGGTGGATTTCAATGATTAGGGTACAAACTGGAATAGTGAGGTTGTAAAGGATCAAGAAGAGGTTCTGAATTACATTTCAAAGAACTTTCTTGATCGGTATGTTTCTAGCTTCTGAGAAAGGAGGCAGTACTAGATGGGGTGGCATGGTGGCTCACTGGTTAGCACTGCTGCCTCACAGCACCAGGTACCTGGGTTCGATTCCACCCTTGGGCGATTGTCTGTCTGTGTGGAGTTTGCACATTCTCCCTATGTCTGTGTGGGTTTGCTCTGGTTTCCTCCCACAGTCCAAAGATGTGCAGGCTAGGTGGATTGGTCATGCTAAATTGCCCCATAGTGTTCAGGGATGTATAAGTTAGATGTGTTAGCCATGAGATATATTGGGTGGGAGATGGGTGTGCGTGTGATTCCCTCTGGAGGGTTGGTGTGGAGCTGTTGGGCCGAATGGCCTGCTTCCACACCATAGGGGCTGTATGTAAGGCAAGAAACTCCAGAGCTAATCCTCCTTTGAGTAATTGTGAATTCCAAATGTGATGACCACCATTTTTTTAAAAAAAAGGTAAAGGATAAATTCAGCAACAATGGGCCAGCCAGTAGATATAATGATCAGAGACAAAATTAAAGTTACTTGACCAACCAAATGTGGATTAATTGAGAAAACCAGCTTGAGTTTGTTCTTGTACGTAGCCATTCACAAGATATGTGTGTGTCACTGACCAGGTCAGCGTTTATTACCTGCCCTGGAGAAAGAAGGTAACAGCGAGCTGCCTTCTTTAACCACATTGTGGGACAATACGCACTGATGTTGTTGTGAGGTGATTTCCAGGATTTTGCCTGGGGTCCACAGTAAGGGAATGGTGATGTATTCCATGTCAGGATGGGTGTGTGTTAGGAGGGCACCGTGGTGTGTGTCTCATGCCTTTGCTGCCCTTGTCATTCTCGATGGTAAAATCACGTGTTTGGAAGATGAAGTCAAAGAAGCAGTGGTGTGTTGCTGTGGCGTACCTTGTGTACGCTGTTGTGAATGTGCGTTGGTAGTGAAGCGAGTGAATATTTAAAGTGGACTGCCAGTCACCTTTGTTGGGCTTGACTAACACGGTTCAGATGAGATAACAGAAAGAGTTGATGAGAGTCATGTGGTTAATACGGTTTTCATGGATTTCCAAAAGGTGTTTGACAAATACTGGTCAAATACTAGTGATGAATGGTTGTTTGATCTGGCAGAAGTAGGGGATCCCGGGGATCCCAGGGATCCTTGTGCAAACT